AAGAAGTGATACGGGAGCTACAAAGAAATTATTTAGGCAGTGAGTGAGTGGAAGAGGGTCCTTGGTAAGGCTTCCCGTTTAACAAAAAGCACACCCTACATCATTGCTTTTCTAACAAAAAGCAACCTGTACGACTGAGCTGCAGACGTACATAAGCAAACTGGAAGCTTGCATAAGTAAATGCCGGCAGTTGTGTCAATAGAAAAGGGATACCTGGAAGCCAGGTATATTCAACATGGAGGGTACCTCTTTCCTTTTCTTTGTCACCACGTGTGCAGTAAAAAGCAGGCAACATGGTGCTGGCCAGATAGAGAACCCATCTGCATAATAAAGGAGTAGGGTGGGATGGCCAGCTTCTTTGCAAGCTATGCAAACGGCACACCTGGTCTGAACAGTCTCTAGTGTTCTATATTCATCACGCACCCCTCCTCAAGCTCAACTATAAAACCCCATGCCTTTCACCATGGAACCTGAAGACCCCGTGGGGAGCACCTCTCGCTTTGCAGGAGAAAGAGCTTCTTTTCTCTTTTCTCTCGTCTATTAAACCTCTGTTCTTAAACTCACTTCTCATGTGTCCACGTCCTCGATTTCCTTGGCATGAGATGAAAAACACTGGGGATTTACCCCACACAATGATGATGCTATGATCGTGTATGTGAATGGTGCCTCCTTATTTGAGTAGTGCACAACCTATGCAACTGTATCTGGTGACCTTTGCAACACTTCCATTTCTGGCCTTTTCTCAGTATGCTTTTGTTATTTCCTCACTTAGAAAGCCCTCATGCATCAAATACAGAAGTGTCTACTGAGAACCCGCCTTGCAACTGTCCCTTTGTTGGGATCTAGTGACAGATCCATGAACATAATATTGTCTCAAACTTCAAAGATTTCCAGTCTGCTGCAAGAGGCAGACTAGTAAACAGAAACTTTCTGTTAGTTATTGGCAAAGAAATGGTACACTGGGAGCTAAACTTCTGGTGGCAAGAAGTAATAGAAAACAGATTCCTCACCCCTGAGCTGTGAGACAGGCCACATGGACATTTCAAATCCAATTAACAATGACCAGTGAGGTGACTCGGCTTTGTCAAAGGTAAGTCAGGATGGGGCAACAGAGGGCTGGAAAGGGGGGTATATTTGGACGGAGCTGGGCTTCTGGTTTCACCTCACCTCCAGCAGGAAGCACGGGGAGCCAGCCCCTAAGCCCAGGCCAGTAAGAGCAGCCCCACCAGCACTTGCAGGCCTGGCCACGTGTCCCATGCAGCGAGGCAGCCACAGAGGACAGGTGCCCGACTCACACTGAGAAGGCAAGGAAAAGCTAGGGATGGCTGAACAGAGGGCTGCACCAGGGGGAACAGCGGAGAGAATGTGTCCCTTTGTTGTGGGCTAAAGTTGTGTGACTCTTGGGAACCACTGTAGACCCCACTATAGATGTAAAAATACCTGCCTTGGGATGCTTAGAATGAAGTCCTGCCCAAGAGGGCAGCATGCCTGGGCAGAAAAGACACCAACTATTTTGCTGGTGGCAGAAGCGGAGGGGGCTAGAAATAGATCACAGAGGAAAGAAATTCATTTCTTTCTTTCACACATAAATTGTGTTTCACAAGGAAACACAATTTGTGTGATTTATACAAATTGTAGATCACAATTTACCTGTTCCAAGAAAATTTGGAGGGATGGCGAAGGGGTAGAGTTTCGAGACAGATAATCTAGGTAAGAATGATCCAGACTGAGTGCAGTGGCTCACGCCTGTAATCCTAGCACATTGGGAGACTGAGGTGGGCAGATCACCTGAGGTCCAGAGTTTGAGACCAGACTGGTCAACATGGGTAAACCCTGTCTCTACTAAAAATACAAAAATCGTCTGGGTGTGGTGGCGGGCTCCTGTAATCCCAGCTGAGGTTCCCGAGGCTGAGACAGGAGAAACATCTGAACTCAGGGGATGGAGGTTGCAGTGAACCAAGATCGCACCACTGCACTCTATGCACTCTAGCCTGGGTGAAAGAGTGAAACTCCTTCTCAAAAAAAAAAGAAAGAAAAGAAAAGAATGATCCAAACTAAATCAGGTGTCCTGCAGTAGAGAGAATGGTCACTCCAGCACACGTTCAAGAAAGAGTTAGGAATAAACATCACCCCGCATTCAACCTTCAGGATCCCCTTCTCCAGGAAGGTCTCCAGGGGGTTCCCATCTTCTTCCTGCTTCCTGCACTTTGAGTGTGAAATATTTTATTTATTAAAATTAACATTTGAATTTTAATATTTAGTATACTTCATTGAGTCTGAAATACCAACTATAAATTATAATATTATTTTTATGAACTACAAAGAATGCTGTCAATTCTCATTCAGACACCATTCAAACATAAGATAGTTTGCAATTTCTGTGATCTTAAGGTGTGACAAAACATGAATTTTAGAATGACTGCAATATGTTGTTACTTTGATTTTTATGTTTACGAGATTTCTCTCTCCAGCGAATCTATGAGTTACTTAAGAACATGGAACATGATTTATATCGCTGTAAATGTGTAGAATAGGTGGTAAACTCATGGATAACAGATTATTTGAACTATAAATCAGACCACTTGAAAGGAATATCAAATATTTTAACATGTCATGAGGCACTCTCACCATTTTAATATGAAAATGTAAATTTTTAAAAAGAAAACCTGAAAAGGAAAAAAAATGGCAAGGATAATTGCATTAAAAACATCAAAGTTGGGCAATTACAAACGTACAGATTCTAATAACCCAATAAGTCTTGTTATATAAACAATTCCCCAACCATTTCCCATGGTATTAGTCATGGTTCTCTACAGAAGCAGAACCAATAGGGTGTGTGTGTGTGTGTGTGTGTGTGTGTGTGTGTGTGTATACAGTCTGCCCTTTGCAAGCTGGAGACCCAAGAAAGCTGGGGGTATAGTTTGAATCCCTGAGAGCCAGAAGCCGATTGTGTAGATTGAAGTCTGAGTCTGGAGGTCTGGGAACCAGGAGCATAGAGGGCAGAAGATTAACGCCCCACCTTAAGCATCAGGTGAAGTTAATTCAATTTTCCTCTGCCTTTTTTCCAATGTAGGCCCTCTGTGTATTGGACCATGTCCACCCACCATGAGGAGAATATCTACTTAGTTCACCAATTCACATTCTAGTTTCTTCTAGAAACACCCTCACCGACACACGAAGAATAATGCTTAACCAATGCATTAGTCCATTCTCACACTATTGTAAAGAAATACCTGAGACTGGGTTATTTATAAAGAAAAGTGGTTTAATTGTCTCACAGTTCCACAGGTTGTGCATGGCAGCTTCTGAGGAGGCCTCAAGACACTTTTAATCATGGTGAAGGCAAAGGGGAAGTAGGGACATCTTACATGAGCAGAGTGGCAGGAAGAGCGAGATGGGGGAGGTGCCACACACTTTGAAACAACCAAATCTGGTGAGAAGTCACTCACTGGACAGTACCAATGGGGGATGGTGCTAAACCATTCATGAAGACTCCATCCACTCCCATAAGCCAGTCACCTCCCACCAGGTTCTACCTCCCACATTGGGAATAGTAATTCAACATCAGATTTGGGTGGAGACACAGATCCAAACCATATCAGCCTGCTATCTGGGCATCTTATGGCCCAACCAAGTTGACACATAAAAGCAACCATCACAATCACATTTCTCTACTCAGAGATAAGCATTTTCTCTTTTAAGTTATTTTGTTTTTAAAATGGTTTCTACATCATAATATATTTTGATTATATCCCTAGGTCTTCACCTCTGCTTTAATATTTTCTTCTCTCTACATAGCCTCTAATTTCTAATAAGGGGATCCTTTTACCTCTCCAATTCAAATGATTTCTGTAGACTTCAATCCTCTTTGCAATACTAGCTCAGTAACTATGCTAAACACTCACTCACTCAACTCGTGGAAAATGATACATCTGCCAAATGATAGGTTTTTGGTATGTTTTACAAGTTTTACACGAAATAAGCTCAAAACGTGTTGGAGAAGTTGAAAAGAAACATTACAGGGAAAGTTTCTACCCCTCCCTTTCTCTGCTTTGCAGTGTTTGGTCTATGGGAGAGAGAAGAAAAGAGAAAGAGAGAACAAAAACGGGAAATGGTACTCTAAATATGATGAATTCACCTTTGTGGATGATAAATCAGCCATCTTTTAAAATTATAATCCTCTATTTGCATTTTCTAAAGACACATATTGTTTCAGTCTAACAACTTCACCCTTTTTCTAAAGCTATAACCTCACTTTTATTTTCCTAAAAGTTGCCTTTTATACTTTCTTAGAAACTCAAATTTTATCTTAAATTTACAGTGATTGCTATCTTGTTCCCTGAAAAACGAGGGTTAAGCTCAGATGACTGAGCTCACGAGATCTCACACAAAGAGATTAATTGCCACCACTCTAAGGACTTGAGTAGAGTATGAGATGAGTAATCCGCAGAAGGCGGAGGAAACCAGAGCTGGCAGCGTTTCAGCGGTCGCACATCTGGGCATTTGTAAATATTCTCGAGCTGGAATGGTAAATTGGGAGCAACCATCTGGATATTTGGCTAAAATTTTCATTTTTTTTAGATGGATTTTTAAGACCGCTATATAAAACCTTCCAGCTTTTCTCTTCATTCTTCTAGTTTTTAGTAGCAGGAGGGCATGTTGCAATAAATTCCACAATATTTTAACAATTGCGATAGTGGGTCTCTCCCTATCCCACAACTGCCTGTAGCTTGTGATTACACAAGTCTATTGGATTTAAACTTTGATATGCTTCTGTCCCCCAGGCTGAATTTTCTTTTGAAGTTTCCATGAAGTTAATACTGATCTTGTTCTTAAAAAAAGTGTCTGGGATTTACCTTCTAGATGGGTGTCTCTACCACAGACAATCTTTTTGGTAAGATTCCAGTTCCTCTCTGTTGCTTCTATTCCTAGATGCTTTTTGTTTTGTTTTGTTTCGTTTTTTTGTGTGTTTGAATTTATAAAGTTGTTCTGAAATGTCTTTAGACCCTTAATGCCATCAGCACCTTTAAGGAGATTCTAAACACGTCTTTCTCTAAACTGGAGGGACGCCGTGGTGACCCCAGTGCCACGATGGGTGGAATCTGCTCCAAAATAATTCAACCAGCGCAAACTGTGGGTTTAAGTCTCTTGGCACATTGGGTTTACTTGCAATCCCTAGGGGGAGGGGTGCATCTTTGTCCCACGAAGCCTGCCCTCAGGAAGCAAGGAACGTTTCCCTTTTAGTGTTTGCTGCCTCAGCCTGGGTCGTCTTTGTGACTTCTTGAGCAGGCTAAAATGCGTGGGTGAGTCCAACTGAATGTCTTTCTTCATGACAGCCACCGACAAGGTGAATGGAAAAGAAAATGGAAAAGAGAGAGGGTGTATTAGTCTGTTTTCACGCTACTGCTAAAGACATACCAGAAACTGGGTAATTTATAAAGTAAAAGAGGTTTCATGGATTCACAGTTCCATGTGGCTTGGGAGGTCTCACAGTCACGGCGGAAAACGAAAAGCACTTCTTACATGGCTGTGGCAAGACAGAATCAGACAGCCAAACAAACATTTTATAATGGTTTCCCCTTATAAAACCATCAGCTCTCGTGAGGCTTTTTCACTATCACGAGAGCAGCATGAGGGAAACCACCCCCATGTTTCAATGATCTCCCACCGTCCCACCCACAACACGTGGGTATTATGGGAGCTATAAGTCAAGGTGAGATTTGGGTGGGGATACAGCCAAACCCTATCAGAGGGAGTGAGAGAGACACAGAGAGAGAGAGAGAGAGAGAGAGAGAGAGAGAGAGAGAGAGAGAGAAACTGTTGATCCAAAGTAGCGTAATTATTAAAAGAGCAAAACTTTTGCTGTTGTCAGATGATACTAGAAAATAGCATGCATCCGGCATTATTGAAAATGCATGGTTCCTGTTACATGACCAAAGCTCAAGCCTTTTTAAGCATTAAACCCCCTTTTCATCCTTATAAATGGGGATAGCACCAAAAACCAATTTAAGCAGAGTAAAGCAAGTATGTGAGCGTATAGATGTGTGCCTCTGTGTGCATGTGCCTGCGTGTGTGCCTCTGTGTATGAATGTGTGTGTGCCTGTGTGTGCACGTGTGTGTGCCTCCGTGTGCCTGTGTCTGTGCATGCACATGTGCATGGGCCTGTGCGTGTACCTGTGTATGTGCCTCTGGGTGTGCCTGTGTGTGTGCATGTGTGTGTACCTGTTTGTGCTTGTGTGTGTGCCTGTGTGTGTGCATGTGCATATACTTGTGTGTGCCTGTGTGTGCGCCTCTGTGTGTGCCTGTGCGTGTGCTTCTGTGTGTGCCTGTGCGTGTGCCTCTCTGTGTGCCTGTGTGTGTGCTTCTGTGTGTGCATGTGCGTGTGCATGTGTGTGTGCTAGTGTATGTGCCTGCGTGTGTGCTTGTGTGTGTGCCTGTGTGTGTGCCTGTGCATGTGCTTGTGTGTGTGCCTCTGTGTGTGCATGTGTGTGCCTGTGTGCCTCCGTGTGTGCACATGTATGTGCCTGTGTGTGTGCATGTGCATGTGCGTGTGCCTGTGCATGTACTTGTGTGTGTGCATGTGCATATGCCTCTGTGTGTGCATGTGTGTATGCTTGTGTGTGTACCTGTGTGTGCCTCTGTGTGCCTGTGTGTGTGCATGTACCTGTGTGTGTGCCTGTGTGTGTGCATCTGCACATGCCTGTGCATGTGCTTGTGTGTGTGCATGTGTGTGTACCTGTGTATGTGCCTGTGTGTGCATGTGTGTGTGCATGTACCTGTGTGTGCCTCTGTGTGTGCATGTGTGTGTGCCTGTGTGTGTGCCTCTGTGTGCATGTGCCTGTACCTGTGAGTGTGCCTCTGTGTGTGCATCTGCACATGCCTGTGCGTGTGCTTGTGTGTATGCCTCTGTGTGTGCATGTGTGTGTGCCTGTGTGTGTGCCTCTGTGTGCATGTGCATGTACCTGTGAGTGTGCCTCTGTGTGCATATGCGCATGTCTGTGCGTGTGCATGTTTGTGTGCCTGTGTGTGCATGTGCACGTGCCTGTACATGTGCTTGTGTGTGTACCTGTGTGTGTGCCTCTGTATGTGCCTCTGTGTGTGCATGTGTGTGTACCTGTGTGTGCCTCTGGGTGTGCCTGTGTGTGCCTGTGCATGCGCCTGTGCATATGTGTGTGTGCCTGTGTGTGTGTACACATGTAGCTCACAGCCATTGCTGTGAACTCTGGACCTTGGTGACTTTGCTGTGTCCTTTGCTGTACCCAGCGGTGATCTCTGTCTCTGTTTTCCTAAATTTCATCTCTCGCTAAGTTAATAAGTGCTTTGAGTGCTTCTTTTCCATGTCTATGTGTGTTCATGCTCATTCTACCACCTGTTATCACTCCTCACTGCTCTCAGCAGACCCCAAATCGTCATCTTTTTCAGGAAATCCTAGATCAGGAATAAACCTCAGCATATTGAGAACTGTGTCCTCTGAGTTAGATAAGAACGAAGAGGAAACATTATCCAGAGTTTCATAACACAGGGTCCATAGATGTCTTTAGGATGGATAAAATCATATAAAATCATAAATCATATGTGAAGAGTGTGTGTGTGATCATATTATTGAATGAACCTAGTGAGGTTAAATAAGAAAAAGTAAATTTGTTTTTTATCTCAACAGGAGCACCCCTAAGCTATGTTCGGCCTTTGTACTGAGAGAGGAAGTTGCATCTCTGGGTGGACACAGCCTGTGGCTCCTGTTGTACAAAGGTAAAGACTTCCTTTGCACCAAGGGACGGGGGTGGTGAGCAGAGCAGGCTGGATTTCTCCATCAGCCCTCCTCCTTGTGTAGTCAGTCATTGTACACCCTGAACAACCTTCTCCACAACCCCCATTTCTCACTATTCACTTTCAACACGCCTTAAAGGATCCAGTCCTTCACCAGCCCGGGAGGGGTCTCTGCCAGACTCGATGGCTTCTCTGGCCTGTTTCCCTCATGGGGGCGATCTTGTAGCTTATGCAAGGTCTAGTCTATGGGAATAGTAAAACCCCAGGCTTCCCCAGTCTCAGATCCTCTTCCGTGCACACCACGTGCTTGTCTGAGACCTGGAACCCGAAGCTGGAAGAGACATGGTCAGCTTTTTCTCTATTTTTTCCACGTGCTGTTCTTCTCCTGCTTCTCATTCACCAGTGGTTTTGATCCTTGCAGGGCCAGGCCCAGGAGAAGAATGGATTGGAGAAGGGACACCATGTTTCACAGCTGTGACATTTGCCATCGGGCCTCAGGACACCCAATGGCAGAGGTACCGTTACTGACTTTTACATTGATTGGTGCGTTAGTGTTCTTGGATGTTCCTCCCCCAGCATCCTCCAATGCATGTCCATCACTGTGCGTCCTGCTTCTCTCTCAGTCTCCGGAACTGCCCTGCCCTCCCTGTGCAGACTCTAAATGTCAGGGTGTCTTAGCATCCCCCACACAGTTCACGTGGATGAAGTGAATTTTAGATGCCCCAAGCCAACTCCCTACCATGGGCCCCACAACAGGACACAGAAAACACACACCTGGAAACCAACATTGCAGGAACTCCTAGTTTGCCATCAGGTTGGCAAAAGAAACCTGTCTTTCACCCTTAAACCTTTCCCAGAGACATATTAAATACCTGTCCTCACTTTTCCCAGAGTCTGGTGATGTATGCAATATCCTCTGAGTTCTCACTTGCCGTTAAGTGAAGGGAAAACAACTCCCCAAGAAAGGTTAGGAAACTGTAATTCATGCAGCCTATGCCATCAAAAGAAATCC